ATTACCATGAACGGGTTAGTCAGTCAGTATTGTCTATCACCTTGTCTGTGTCTAACCATGTTTAACCATTACCATGAACGGGTTAGTCAGTCAGTATTGTCTATCACCATGTCTATGTCTAACCATGTTTAACCATTACCATGAACGGGTTAGTCAGTCAGTATTGTCTATCACCATGTCTATGTCTAACCATGTTTAACCATTACCACGAACGGGTTAGTCAGTCAGTTTTGTCTATCACTTTGTCTATGTCTAACCATGTTTAACCATTGCCTGTTTGTGATATACTTTTAGTACTTTGACGTAATTTTAGTGATATTTGGTATTTTCCAATGAAAATGAAAGCACAGAGATTCTTCATTGGTTCCCCATTGCCACCATTGATGACAGCGATGAAGATGATGATTGGAATTTTTCATCTGTCGTGGTGCTCTTTCCAAAGATATGATCGCGTGTGATGGTGAATATTGTGTTGGACGATATTTTCACACTGAACGCTTTGGTTTATCGATGTATCCAGCTGGCATTTGGTACTGTGATCATTGTAAAGGATCATCAGCTTCAACATCAGAGAAAGATAGTGAAGGTACAGTGTTTTTGTGCAATGTGAAGAGAAAATTTATTACATGCTTGAAGTCTGAGTCTCCACTTCCATACATGATAAGAACTGAATGCCTCAAACCAGGCCATACTTTTTCAACATGATCAGCCATTTTATCAGCTACTGTTGCAATTAGTACTATCCTTCTGTGTGAATTACCCAGCCTCAATCTTATAAATAAGAAATATTAGGCCTAGTGCCCATGGTCAGACTATATCTTGTCTAAAATGACTCACTGGTGACTTTTTTCCATAGTCAGGCTCCATTAATAGAGTTTTTCTACGGTTTGTAATTTTTTGAAGGCTTCTCTGGTAGACAAGCTTATCCGTTGTACATTTCTATAAAGATGTGAAGGTTTCCCCCCATTGTTTCATTTTCTATCACTGTTTCCTCCAGTGTTTTTATAATTCTCATTTATTTCAGGACCATCAACATCTTTTACAGGGGGAGGTGAAACAGCTGTAAGAGGTTTCTGGTAGTCATGTTCTTTAACGTATGCTTTACCTTTCTGCTTGACGTTGTACATTCTAATGTAAACTATTGTAAAACTTAATTCATTTTCTACTCTGTAACCATAGTATGAACAACATTAAATAAACGTCTGTCAAATAAATAAAATTAATAAACGTCTGTCAAATAAAAAAAAATAATAAAATAGTGGTGTAGAAAGGGGGGGATGTTTTTCAGCCGTCAAAAACATGAAAAAAAAACAAAAAAAAAACCCCAAAAATGTAAGCTTGACTTGCCTGACCATGTTTAATAGCTCCATGGTTCAACAGGCCTGGGGGGTTCAGCAGTAAATACTTTCCCTGAATAAAATTTACATTTTGTATGGTTACATCTCTTCCTTTATCTTTTTCTTAAACTGCACATTTGATTTATATATAGTGGTTGTGTGTGATAAATTTCAACCTTTCATTGGCTTCATCTTATTTTTTTCCAGCTACACATAAATTAGCTAAGTCAGAAGACAGGATTCTGCAAGAGATGGAAAAGATGAGAAGAAACCCCAAAAGAAAAGTATGTTGTCTTTTTCCAGTTTTGAAAAATCTGTTTTCACGTGAATATTTTACTTAATCATGACAGTTTAGATAAATTATGGTCTAGTTTTCTACTCCAGTCGTGGAACTGAACTAAAATAAGCTGATCATTGTAGATGTACAAGCAGGAAAATAAAACAGATGTTGACTGCTGACTGGTTACATATTTGTGAAGTAAAAATATTTGACATGGGGCAACCATAAATACCTTTATAATTTTCATTGCAAGTTCTGTCTTTTTATATTTTATCTTCTTTGATAGAATGACTACCTTTGATTTTGCCTAAAAAAGATGTTCTGAAGGATGCAGTGTCTATTTTCAGCGGAACTCTGGGGACCATGTGGGACCGTCCAATCTTCAACATGGACAAGAATACTTCAGTTCTGGTCTTGGCTTTAACCAAGTTTTGCTATGCTTAAGCAGTTTTTGAATACTTGCATGGTGGCATAATTTATAATGGGGTATATTTTTTACCAAAAGAATTTCAATAAACCAAAACCTGGGGTGTATGAACTGATGTGGAAGAGATTTGTTTTTACTAAGAAGCAACTTAAATGCAGAATGGTGCAAATTACTTTAGTTGAGATAAATTGTAAAGGAAAACATTTCTTTATTTTCCAGTACCTGCTTCAGACTGTTTTCTTATATCTAATTAAGGCACAAAATAATTCAAGCCAGAGATGAAAAAACATGGATCAATAGAGATTAAGATGAAGAGACTTCACCGAGGTATGTTGCTGAATATATTCCGTATGCATTGCTGAAAAAATACAAAAATCAAAAGAATCCCATAGCAGAAATATTAGATATCTTTCATCATGGCAATGTTACATCATCACACAACCCTAAAACATTTCTAGAAAATACAAAACGGTACATTGACACTAAAAGTAAGGATATCTTTGCAAGTTTTGGTGTTTTTTCTGTTTTTTGTCCAAGCAAGGGAGCAGATTACCCAAACAATTCTCAAAAATGATAAACTGTATTCACTTCAAGGAGCGAATGTTAAAGAACTGTTAT